AAAAGAATGCCTGGCCAGGGCTTCCGAGCAGACGTTTCGGCAGGAGTCCCAGGGCCCCACGTTGGGCGCCAGTTGTCCCGGCCCGCGGGACGAACGTGGAGTGTGCCGGAGACGCCTGCAGAAATGAAACAAGCAAGGGACACAAAGAACGACCAGCAAGACAGGATGTCTGATCAAGCTGGCACAGTTTATTGTTTGTAGGCTTAATTTATACAGGTCAGCAAGGAAGGGGTGGGTCAAAAGGCAATTGGACCTTAGGTGACGCTGACGGGAAGGTGTAAAGGGGTAATTGGGCTTTGGTTGGCGCTGGCGGGAGCAGAGAACCCGGAAGAGAATCAGGGAGTTCGCCATTTTGTGGGTGGAGAATCTTTGGTCTCCGGCAATTGAGGGGCTTGTGTAGACGCCAAAACCTGTAGGCTTGCTTTTGCACAGTGCCTGAATTCAGTCTAGGGTTGGGGAACTCCAACTTCTAAAGCGGACGCGAACTCCTGCTTTCCTAGCTACTTAAGGCACAGAGGGCGGCAGGCCTCTGGGCGAGGAGGTGATGCTGCGGCAGGAGGCGGGCTCTCGCCTGCCAGCAACCCAATAATCGCGCGCCGCTCCTCCAGTTCGGAGGCTGATTGGTGGTTGCCATAGCTCCGGTCGATGGCTTGACAAGATGGCGGCGGCGGGTCGGCTGCGATAGCTGTCGCGCCTACCCGACCTTCTCGGCTTCTAGGGAGGTCCGAGGCATGGGCTTAACGCCGCAGGCCTCTCTCCTCTTGGGGCTTCTCGTTCTGCAGGGCGTCCTGAGGCCGCTGTCGGGGGTTCACGGTGTGTACGGCAAGTCAGGGGCTGCAGGACTGAGGGGACTCCTCCAGACGCTCCGGACGGGCTCTGCCAGTAGGCCGGAGAAAGCGTCACGCAGCTGAGGCAGGTCAACTGTTAACTCCTGGCTTCCTTCTTTCCCACCTTAGTTTTCATCCCTCCTTTCATCCGCATGTCCGACCCTGAAGTCAGCGCGTCCCTGGTAGGCGGAGGCGAGGATGTGACCGTATCCCTGTCCCGGCTACAGGAAGAGGAGGGTAAACTCCCGCTCTTCAGGTGGGGAGGCTGGAGGTGGGACCGGCCTGTGTCGCCCAGGAGCCTGGCGACGTGGTATCCTTTTGGGCCTCCCGAGCTGTCCACTGCAGGGGCGGTGAGGGAGAATGCGGAGCTGCTGGGGACCAAAGAAGCGGACTGGATCGGAAAAAGAAAGCTTGAGATAATGATGGCTGGCATTCATTGACCTACCTCCCGTGCTATCCGGTCATCACCTCTTTTTCCTAGTTAAGAACAGTAGTATCCTTCACCCCATTTAACAAATGGAGACCCTGAAGTTCAGAGCGGTTGTCACTTGTCCAAAGTCACACAGCTTGCGAAGGGTCAAATCCTCGGCTTGGAAAGGGATTGCATCCTAGGGAACCTGACTCCAGCATGGATGCCCTTAGCTGTTTGGCAATACTACCCTGCATTCTAATCTTTCTCCCTCAGGATTANTACCTGCTCCACATTGTGAAGTGCTGAACAATGAGACAGAAGACTGGAGTTTGACTGTGATACCCAGTGTGGTAAGGCCAGAGTAAAACCTGTGTAGCATCTGTGTAGGTCCACATTTAATGTTGTTAATTAACAGTGGTGTCTTGATTGAATAAGATCGAGCTTTCTCAGTGCTCTGAACTTGGTGAAACTGGGCTGTCAGGGCTAGTGGACACCATCCAGCCCAGAGGTTCTTATTCTAGTGTTAGGGGTCCTTGGACTAGTTTCAAGAAGTCTGTGAAATCCTTGAAATTGTGTATAAAATTATGTTTATGTACATTATTCTGGTGAGAGGGTGGCCAGCTTCCCTCAGATTATCAAGTGGATATGTGCCTCAATAAAGCTTCATGAACCACTGATCTCACCCAACTTTGAGCTTATGTGTAAAAACACTGAAGCCTGGAGAGATTAAATATCTTCCATTCAATAAATGTTTTATTGAGTGCCTAGTTTGTGCAAGGCATAAACTCTGTAGACAAAGGATGAGAAAGACTGTTTGTACCCCAGGAACTGGGGAGTGTTTTCATTTTACCTACTTTTGTGTGTATATTTAATCTTCTGTTGGTAGGATGATAAATAAACTAAAAAGGTCCTAAGCAAACCAAGTCAATTGATCAAACCTGTGTTTAGCTTTCTCTACATATACCAAAATTCCTTGCTTTTACGTTAAACCGAGGATGGGAATTGGCTTCCAGATAGCCATAAATTTATAGGGTGGAATTGAGCAGAATTATATCCTCTTTGCATACAGTTCTCCTCCTGTAAAGTTAACTTAGGCTGATGTGTGCTTTTTTGTATAGTGTCTCTTATGTATTCCAAGTTACGCATGCTATTTTGAGTCCCTTTAAAAAGTACAGCATGTTTTCCTTACAGAATGCATTGGAAGTGACAGTGCGGTTGAAGAGTAGTCTGCAAAGGTGTTCCTCTAATGAGACATATTTCTTCTCAGAGTCCCCATGTATTGTCCAAACTCTTCTGGTTTCAGCATCTCACAATTCATCTTGTTTAGCACACCTACTCATTCAAGTGGAAATTTATGCCAACTCTTCTCTGGCCCATAATGCATCAGGTAAGTAAAGTCTGTATGACTATCAGAAGAGCCACATCAAACATTATCTATTTGATTATCAGCCCAGGCCATGAAATTAGTGTATTTCACTCTTGAGGTGGTCTCTTCTCCCTAAATTTATATTTCTTTTGTTTACTTTTTTATTTTCAGTTTCCACTTTTTACTATTTTATTTAAGATTTGTTTTACCTTGTTCTACTGTTTGTGTCTTTGTAAGTGGCCTTAAGTCCTTTCTGAGAGAAGGTAAAGTTGGTTTCTTTGTATTGATTCCTTTGACTGCATCCAAAAACAAAGACAAAACAAACAGGGGAAAGAGTAATGAAGGAGTTTGTAGCAAAAGAGCAGATTGTCAGGGGAAGCTTTGGGCTGCCAGCTCCCTTTCCAGAGGCAGCCTGTTCATTTATGCTTATGGAAGCAGCTCTTCCCTTCTTTAAAGACACCCACACACAGTAATAATACACTGTTATTTTCAGTATACTTACAGATTAAATATACTTAATATACTTAAAGAACTTAGATATTTTTAGTAGGAATATGCCATGTAGGTTCATCTCATTCTTTTCAATAGCCACCTAGTATTCCATTGTGTGAATATACCATTGTTTTTATGACTCAGCTATCAGTGATGGAATTTAAGCCACCACCAGCTTTTGAATCTGGAACTAGTGTCTCAGCACATATGTTTGAGGGGTCTTCCTGGGAAGGTACCACCACCACATTGCCTGTGTGGAGCCTCTTTTGGCTCTGGGCTCACCCTGGATGAAGGGAGAAGCGTTCCTCCTTGGTAGCAAAGCTCTGTCACTTTGAGACTCTCTCAGTGTCACTTCTCTTGTCCCATCCCTAACTGTGGTCCTCCTGTGGTTCTGGAAGTTGAGAAGTATTTAGATAAGTTATGTTAGTGCCATTCAGTGGGCTGGCTACTCTGCCCTTGGTGTGCCTACCTGGACAGGTCTCTAAGATATATGTGAAGTTCAAAAACAGATGCAGACAGGTGCAAACAGCATGGGATAAGAGTATTTATTTATATTTGAATTGAGAAATTCTGGAAAGCTCTCCAAGAACTAATGTTGTGCTAACCCACTGGTGGGTAATGTGGGAACAGGAAAGGCCTGAGAGTGAGGATATTTGCTGTGTACTTTTTTTACATCCTTTGACTTTTTTGAACCAAGTGAATATATTAGATACTTCAAGGTTTTAAGTTTTGTTTTTAAAAGAGAAAATATCTTGTAATGCTTAAAATTCAAAACCAAAATAAAATACTCTGCAGTTTAAAAATCTATAGGAGGGATTAATAGTAGCTAAGCCATTAGAAGCAGTGACTCTTTTCTTTTAAAAACTATGCTTGACTATATTTAGGTAATATTTTAGAATATCTTTGTGCACATAGCCAGACTTAGGAAAATGAGAGTCTGTATATTGAATTATAAGATGTCCGCTCTGACCCCACAAAGGTGTAAACAGTTTTGCATGCAGTCAGACAGAAATCAGAACAAGAAAAAGGAGGTGAGGATAAACAGTAAGTATGTGGTGTGCCTAGTAACAATGCAGCTAGCAAACTACGTAGATGTACAGAAAGATATGCAAACATCTGTCTAGGTATCACATAGTAAAACCCTATTCTAAACTGCCTTGATCATGCCACATGTGTTTGATTATACTTAGGGTCAGAACAAGCGTTCATTTCCCCCACACTTGGACCAACATGGGCTGTTAGTGGATATTTCTTGTTTTTCCTCAAACCATTGACATACTAGGATTCTACTATGTTATAGCACAGAATATATATTTAGTTGCTTTTTAGATGCTTCAGCTGTCCTGTCATTAAAGTCAACTGTTCCATAGAGGTTAAACCAATGATTGCCACATAGTTCTCCAGCGTGTACTGAACCAAAGGACAAAAGTAAAAATCAAAAGGCTGAATGTTTAATCTGATATATTATTGCAGAGAAACTAGAAACAGTCTCTGGATTCTGAGTTAGGAGGCTGTAAAGTAATGGAACAAACTCCTTTTCCAGTGGGTGTGAAGATTGTTCATTTCCCCACGCTTGGACCAGCGTGAGGAAGTGAAGTTTGGATTTATACTGTGATAGGATGTGAGGTTGAGGCATGTAGCATACATAATTCAGTAGGATCTTGTGTCTGCAAGGGTTCCTTACAAAAGCTGTCTAAATGTCACCAGCTTCAGTGTTAGCGGCTGAAAGAGGTAATGAATCTGAAGGAGTAAATGCTTAATATCAGTCTGTTATGAAAGGGGATTGAAAAATACAATCAGTGAGTCACACTCTTCCTACACTGTAAATTTGAGTTACTTGATTCTCTTGCAGACCACCTGGGACGTCTTTGTTCTGTTCTAAGTAGCCCACTGTCTTAGATTTGGGTTTTTGTTGGCCTAGTAGATACAGACCTCAGATATGTTTTATGAATATATGTCATTTCAGGGGTTCCTGAGTGTGGAGTATTGGTCACATTAATTTGGAAAACAATGATTCTGCTTTCTCCTGCATGACAAGACTGGTGTCACTTTGTTCATAGTTGAATATCTTTGTTTGTACTTTTCAGAAAACATGACTGTTATTCCTAACCAGGTGTATCAGCCCCTTGGTCGATGTCCTTGCAATTTAACAGCTGGGGCCTGTGATGTTCGCTGCTGCTGTGACCAGGTAGGCCCTTTCAGATCATCGGGTGCCAAAGATATGGTGCCTGTAGCACGTGAGGGATGCCTGCAGTTTCCATTGACATGTTCGATGGGTGGTCTTTCTACACTGAGATTGTATTTCCTGTTGCAGATAGTTTTCAAATTCAGTTTTGTTATCCAGCATTCTCCGTTTAGTTTAGGGAAGAATATGTATCTCTTTGGAAAAGGTCACAACTGAGAGGATTATATAGAGCTGATGGTTTCAATAACTTATCAGAAGCCTTTACAAGATGTCAAAAGGAAAGAACATTTTTTCAGTGCTATGAAGTAAATGTATAGAGTTGTACAAGCATGACAATCAAATTTTAGATTTCCATCATCCACAAAGAAACCTCCTGCCCATTTGTAGTCTCTCCCATGCCCACCCTTCATCCCAAGGCCACTGTCGGTCAGTCTGTGTCTGCCTGGATTTTCCTGTCCTGAATGTGGCATTCGAGTGGAATCCTACAGTACAGTCCAACGATCCTGCAGTCTCTTGTCCAACTTCTGTGACTCGGTACGATGTTTTCCAGGTTCATCTGTGTTGGGGCATGCCTCAGCACTCCATTACTTTTCAGGCCGACTCGTAGTGCATGGTGTGGCCATGCCACCTAGAGTCTATCCACTTATCAGTGGGTGCACACAGGGATTATTTTCACTTTTTGGCTTTTAGGAATAATACTTCTGTGAACATTTATATATCAGTTTTTGTTTGGACTTGTTTCCATTTCTCTTGGGCAGATTTCCTAGGAGTAGACTTGCTCTTCCCTGTGTTTTCACCTTTTGAGGAAGAGTTTTTCAAAGTGGCTGCTCAGCTGTATCTTCCCATCAGTGGTATATAGGGTGAGTTTCCCGTATCCTCAACAAAAGTTTCCTAGTGATATTTTTTTGATCATGGTTGTCCTAGCGGGTGTGAGGTGCTATTTTAGTGTGCTTTTGATTTGTATTTCTCCAGTGGTCAGTGACGTTGAGCAGCATTTTGTGTGCTTAGTGACCATTTATCTGTCTATTCAGAAGCGATGTCTAATGAGACCCTTTTCCCATTTTGATGGGGTGTCTTTTGGTTGTTCAGTTGTGAGAGCTCATTCTACATTCTGGACACCAGTCCCTTCTCAGGTACACGATTTCCAGAAAGTCATCCCATTGTGCAGGTTGTCTGCTTCCTTGCAGAGGGCCTTTGAAGTCCAAAAGTTGTTTTACTTGGCGAGCTTATCCATTTTGGGGGGTTGCTTGTGCTTTTGTTGTGAGATCTGAGAAAGTGCTTGCCTAACCACAGGTCCTGAACATCTCTTTAATCCTTAGATTCTATTGAAGAGAAATGAGAGATGCAAAAGAGGCACAGGTCCTAGGCTCCAAGTCACTCCCATTATAGAATTTGTCCCAGTTGGTTTTACAAAACAAGGCAAGTTTCCGGTCGTAATTTATACTGTAACTCTCCTAGTAAAAACTTGCACTTGTAATAACAATTCCATTGAATGTGGAAAAACAGCACATCGTCAGTCTGTGAGACTCTCCACAGAAACGTCCAAACGGTATTCTCTTCTTCCTTCTTGGAGACCGCGTCCCTGTTCCCTGTCTTGAACCAGTTTCGTGTGTGTTCTGTGTGGTGTACAGACACACGGCCCTTCCCACAGGGCACTGTTGGGTGTTCTGGATCAGCGATGTCTTCAGATAACTGCTACTTTCCCCTGGAGATGTGATCGCTCTTTAAGTTTGGATTGTTCCCATTTAAAATAATAGATGACCTTTTTTACCTTCAATAAACAAGGGGTTCAGGACATATTTAACTTTGAGCTGTCTCAATCCTATGTGAAATGGACAAATAAATCGTGCATCCAATAACTTCTTGACAACACTAATTGGATGAAGTAAAATACAGTGAGGGTCTTTGGGGCTCTCATGGATTATGGACTGTGTGCCCTGCTCTTAATGTTTTTGGGTTTCTCTGGGCCAGGGATTTGGATGGTGATGACGATGAAAAAGGGAAGTGCACTCTGTTTTATTCCCACAGGGGCCCTATTCCATCTTCTCTTTTCTTCTTTCCCTAGTTTTGTTGTGGGGACATCTTATGCCCCCAGTAAAGATGTGGTTCCCACGAAGGCCTGAATTTCCTTTCTTGGAGGCTTGTGGGGAATTGCGGAAAGCAATTCCAGTTCAGTGTTGCTTTCTGGGAGCACCTATCACTTTTAGCTGAGACAGAGACAGTATGACAGTGTCCATTCCGTGCATCCTCAGGGGCATCCTGCTGGCCCCAGAGACTGGGGCTTATCACACTTGCCAGGAGGTTATCATCGAGGCACCACAGAAAGCTTCTGTCCTCTCACTGTTCCTTTGCATTTTCTTCAAGGAATGCTCATCAGGTATAAGAGAGCTCTTCAAATCGTCCTGTTTCACCGGTGTTTTTGGAGGAGATGTTAATCCTCTTTTTGATCAGCTCTGCTGTGCTCGGAGGGCCCATGGAGTCCCGGGCTGGTCTCTGCTCCTCTGCGTGCAGTCCTTGCTTGCCAACTCGCCTTTCCTGGGTCACTTCTACCATGGCTTTGCGTGAGTGTCCCAGCTTCTGCTGGGTCGGGCGCCCTATTGGGGCTGCTCACCTGGTTGGTGAGTCAATTGTAGATTCAATTCTAGATTTCAGTGAGTAAGTTGATTTGGGGTTAAGTAGGTGAAAGAATTGGCTCCACTAAAAGTAAAGAGAGTGATACCACCAGTACTGCATGGTGAGTATCTGAGTCAGGGGAAAGAGTGGTGAGCTCCTGGGAACTTTAACTCTCCTTACTTGTCTTTATTGTCCACATTGTTTAACAACTTTATATACTGTTATTTTATTGAAGTAAAATTTATGTGACATGCAATTAACCATTAACTAGTTTAAAGTGTACAATTCAGTGGCACTGGGTAGAAATATTCTTTTTGTAATAAAAAGGATAAATAAATTAAAGGAAGAATTGTATTTAGAGGACAATGCTGACAGTATTAGTGATACTCTTTGTTACTGACTTACAGTTTCTCTAGACAGCTCACTTCCTGGGGAGCCTATTTGCCTGCCGAGCTAAAAGACTTCTCAGACTTTGGTTACAAACAAGGAGATCCAATTATGATTGTAGATAACTCATATTTTACTATTCCGCAGGTAAATAGTTCCAATCCTAATATGCTAGAGCCTTTTCCTATTTTTCCCATCATATTGTCAGTTTCACTCCTATTGCTCTTAAATATCTCATCCTGTTACTTAATTTTGTTTCCTATGGATGTTCCAGGCATCTACTATTTATGGTTTCTGGATTTTTAATAAAATAGTCACTCTTGAATTAACCAGTATCTTTGCTAAATCTGAGCGAACTTCCTAGAGAAAACCAGACACATTATCAATTTCCATGGAAATAACCATCATTCTTCACTTCTGTTAGTTTAATGGCCAATTTCCAATAAGCTATAACTATATAATTTTTAGCATTCCAAAGTTTTGAAAACTACTTGAGGTCTATAGAGTTGTATGTGAAATCTTAATTTTTTTTAACTTCAAAATTATGAGGAAAAAGTATCTGTTGGAGTAAACTTGGGACTCTAAGCCATTTTGCTTTGCTATTCAGATGAATCCATTTTGGGGGATTGAATGAAATTCTGGTTGTAATGAGGGAGAGAAAATGAAATAGAATACAATAATGTCCCTGAAAAATAAATGGAGCTGAGCAGGGAATTTTCTTTTGTTTTCATTAAATAATACTTATTTTGACTCCTCAACCAGTGGTTCCAGACTTTGAGTAGCACAGTGATGAGCTATGTTACTCCAATTGGTCACTGGTGAGTGAACTCGCCCTTGTTGATGCTGGCTCAGCACTAGGAACAGGCTGCAGAAAGCACACCCTTCCAAGATGCTGATGTATATTTTGTAATTAGAAAAGAGGCCTAACATCTGTTTGGGCCTTGTCTTGCCTCAGGTGTCCCTGGTTGGTCAGTGCCTGCAGGGGGCCCCAGTTGCCTTCCTTCATAATTTGGATGTTCAATGTATTACTGACTTGGAAGTATACCAGGAACAAGGTCGGATTATCAATGTGAAGATAAAGAACGGGGCTGTGGGAGGTAGGTTACACTGGTTTTAAAAAAAGAACGCAGACCTGAGTGTTTAGAGAAAGTGTCATCTCATTAGAATATAAATCACTTTTGCTGGATCAATGTAAAATGTGTTTACAACTACCATTTGAGGAGGGTTCTTTAGAAGATGTTCAGTTCCATTAGACAGCATACATATTAGGTTTTTTAAAAAATTGAGTTAAAATTCACATGCTGTAAGATTAATCATGCATTCCAGTGGCATTTAGTACATGTATAATGTTGTATAACTGTCACCTCTGGTTCTAAAACATTTTCATCCTTCCAAAGGAGACCCTTTCTCCTCTTGCCCTGACCCCTCGTAACCACTAATCTCCATTCCGTCTCTTTGGATTTGCTTATTCCGAATGTTTCCTATAAATGGAATCAGACAATATGTGACCTTTCGTGTCTGGCTTCTTTCACTTGGCATCAGGTATTGAGATTCGTCCACACTGGTTTAGAACTGTGTTTTTATGGCTGGATAATATTCCATTGCATGAATGTACCAATGTTTGTTATCCATTCATCCTTTGAGGGATTTTTGTGATTCCAGCTGTTGGCTGTTGTGATAAGCTGCTGTGAACACTTGTGTACAAGTGTCTATGTGGATTTATGTGTTGATTTCTCTTTGGTATATACCTAGCAGGGAATTGCTGAGGCACATGGCAGTTTAACCCTTTGAGGAACCACTAAATTGTTTCCCAAAGGGATGCAGCATTTTGCATGCACACCAGCACTGCATATTAGTTCTTCCATGAGGGACACTCAAGACTTTTCTCTCTGATTTTGGGATGCTCCTCGTCAGTTCTAATATGATGCCAAGGGCAGTGGGACTCCCATTTGTTTGATGGTGTTTGGGGAGTGGGAAATGGTTTTGTAGTTGGCACACACCATATTGCTTCATAAGCTTTCATTTTGAGTAAGTAGATATGATCATGCAAGGCCCTGTAGTCCAAAAGAAATTAATTTGTGTATCTTTATAGGCATTGTTACAGCAAAAGTAACCTATGAGGAAGCAACTGGCCTGGACAAATTCATCACCAGTACAGGTAGTTTACTGTGATGCTTTTTTATCATTTCTACAGAAAATATGTGTGTCATTTTTTTACAAGTAATATATAGTCTTAGAGTGAAATACATTTTTATTAAGAATATGAGGAGGTTCACAACTAGAAAGATATCCCCCTGACATTGTTTGGTTCCTTGGCTGCCTTGCCAGGCTTGGGGTGATATCTGAAGCAGGGGCCAGTTCCTCACAATGCTGGGTGATGTGGGTGTTGGGGACTCTTCCAGGTCTCAGGGGCTGGGAACATTTCCTTAAATGTTTTTCAGAGAGTTAAAGAATTCTTCAGGACCCAGCATTTTCACTTGTTGCTTTCTTTCTGTGATAATTAAACTTTTCAGTTGTGGTGCAGTCAAAGATGTTATGCAGAGTTTGGCTGATACTACCAGAACCTTTGCTTTTCATGAAGGACACTATTTGTGTTTCTTAGCAATGTGTTGTAATTCTTGAATGTATTCATCCCTTCATCAGATATTAGTAGAGTGCCTGCAATATAGTAGTGAATGAGGCTTGCTCTTAAGCAGGAGCCACCACCTGTAGTCTTGTGATTTAACAGCATTCTACCAAGCACATTCTCCTAATAGAGTTGTGACTTGGGTGCCGGGGATACTGAGATGAAAGGGACAGTCGCTTGGATATTGTGACAGTATAGAGCAAGAGGCTGGTGCTGATTTGGTAGGACCTGTGATAGACTTGAGCCCCCAAAGGGTCTTTCATTTATGTAAATATTCTTTTATTTGCAGCAACACTTCTAAGTAATGGATCAGCCTCCAGAAACGTGCATGTGGAAGAACATTATATTTTCAGATGGAACAATAACACAATCAGTGAAATAAACCTCAAAATTATTAGAGCAGAAATTAATTCCCACCAGAAAGGTAACTTTGTTGAGGGCAGCAATAATGTTTTCAGTCTAAAAGGTTATTCTTTCTTTCATCAGGATTCTCATAATTATGACACATAAAACTAAATCATACATATTGAATAAAAAAAGACTTTTTTGCATGTCAAAATGTAAATATAAGGTAAAGAAAATAACACTGTGGGATAATCTCTTTTCCTAGTGAAATGGTACACACTATGTTTTTATTTTGTTTTATTTTTAGGAATCCTAACACAGAGATTTACAGTAAAATTTGTAAGTTCTAGCAATAGTGATGAAAAGGAATCATCTGGAAATCCAGGTAAGACAGTATATGTCAGTTGCTGATCTGACAGACATATTTTAGTTCAACACTCCTAAAAGGCGATTACAAATAACTTTCTTTAAATTGAGTTTATGACTCCAACCTTCTGCCTTATTTCTCTTTTATAGCACTGTATTATTCTTCTGATAACAACTTGAGTTTTTATACATAAAGTATTGTAAATAGTAACAAGGTGCTATAAGAGAAACACCTTTTCTCTTTAGCTGTTGGACTTTTGAAAAAAGAGAGGATGCATTTAAAACATTTATCAACTTAGCTTTTTTAGGAAATAATAAGCTGCAGATGATGGGTTCCTAACCTGGAATTGGTGGAGAGACTTTGTGGGGACTGTGAACTCCCTGTGACATTGTGCATTTTGTATTTATGTGCTAATATATCAGCAGCCAGCATGTGGTGTGTTTGCTTCTTTTGTTTATTGCTGCCACCTCACTACCTAAACCAGAACACCAATCACAGGCCACAGGCAGCTGCTGAGCACTTGAAATGTGGTCAGTGTCACATGTGGAAAAAATAATATTTTGGATATATTGGGTTGAATAATATATATTATTCAAATTAGTTTCACCTAATTTTATCTTTTTAATGGGGCTACTAGAAAAATAATTTAATTTCTAAAAAATTCTAAAAATACGTCATCTTAAAATCACATATGTGGTTTGCATTATATTTCTGTTGAGCTCAGACCATAGCAAGTGTTCAGTAAATATATGCTGGTCAAACTATCATTGTTTCTCAAAAACATTGCCCTTGTTTCTTAAAAACATTGTCCCTTTCTTTTACTGTTCTTAATCAGGCAGTAATTTACCATGAAAGAACAAGTTTTAACTTTTCAAAAAATGTTATTTTGCATGATCTTCAATGTTTATATATACTGATTTAATAACACATGATTACACACACACACACACACACACACACACACACACATACATATATAAATATTTTGTTGTTGTTACTTTCTTTTAAATAGAATTTTAGTGTACTTTTGGAGTTTGGCGGTTTATTTGTTATCGGCAGCAAAGTAAAGCTCCCGAAATTTCTGGGAATTCCCAGAATTTTCATTTCACTGACTTAATGTTCCAGGATTTTCTGAGAAACACTGTCAGAATATGTGAAAAATGTTGAAGATCTTGTCAGAAAAGAAAAAATTGATTAAGAGCTAGAACTGATCAGTCTGTGAAGGAGTTTGTGAATATACAGCACTTACTTTAGTACTTTCCAAGGTGGGACAGGGCTTTAGGAGGACTATACAAAATGGGCCCTATCCTCCAGGAATGAACTCTTCCTTGGAAAGATGGCACCCAGTCATAGCAAACAGTGGTGAACACTCCAAGATCATTAGTAAGTAAGTGCTGCATGTACGGATGGATACGAGAACTTCAGAGAAGTAGAATGTTGATCATTCACCCAAACTTTCCATCATTGAGGACCTGGGTTGAATATATAGTGTGTGCCAGGCTCTCATCCCGGTGCCAGAGGAAAAGCAATGAGCAAGTCAGAGTCCTGCCCTTGGATTGACAGGAGAGCAACAGGAATGGGACCTAAGCTGGCCCTTGGTGTCGAACTGATTTACTGGAGTGTGGTTGCATTGAAGGTTCGCTTTGGTTTCCGTTTCCTTTACAAGCTCCTATGATCAGTGGTATGAATCATTCAGCAAGGGTTCGTCAGCTGGCTCGCTTAGCAGCTTATCCTCAGTGTGAGAGAGGTCCAAGATGAGCTCCCAGATGCTTTGTACTTTACAGATTTTATTTTTAAAATTTGTTTAGAAAATCACATGGATATCTTTTTTAAAAAAGGAAACAAGTGAAGGTGATGTCCTCTCTCCAGTCTATTCTGGAAAAACTGCCTGCATGTTTCCTCTCATTGCATGTTCCTCTCTTACATTTGATGAGGTAGCACTTGCTGTGTTAGATTAACTGTGGAAGAAAAGATGCAAACCCCCACTGTTGTGTTTGTCTAGGTTACCAACTTGGCAGGCCTGTTCGAGCTCTCAATATCAACAACATGAACAATGCTACGACTTTACACCGGTGGCATTCGGGTAATCTGTTTTGGTACTACAATTAGCTTTTGGGTAAATGAATTGGAAATGTTACTGTATTTTGAATCTAAATAAGAGGTTGACTACTTTAAAGTCGAGTTGGCTTATGTAGCTGGGGGTGGTAGTTGTTCCTGCTTCTAAGGCTTTGTCTACGTGTGTGTGTGTGTGTATAGAAAATGTTAACATTGCTTGCACCCGAAGTGCTGCTTATTAGAGAGATTTCAGTATGGCATCGGCTTGAGAGACCTCCTCATGGCTGCCTGTAGCTCATGATGGTGCTAAGTGTAGATGTGAGAACAGCTTCATTCCAAACTATGGGAAATCTTTGCCTCTTTGGTAACTACCTACATCTGTCAGAAGGCATTAAATTTCATGTTCAGAATAAATCATTGATCCGGGCCGAGGTATTCTGATACAGAAGGTGCTTTAGTTCATCTCTGAAAGGATAAGAGTAACAATGGCCTCTGTTCTCAAAAACTGGAAACTTTATTTGTACTTACTGTCTTCTCTCTGTTTTTCTAGAAACATTTTGAAGTAAATCTTTATTCTTATTAACTCAAATGGTGAGAGTATAATCTTCCTATTTTATAGCTGGAAGGGGTTTGTGTACATCAGCCACTCTCAAAGCCATTTTATTTGGAGAAAATGTGCTATCAGGGTGCCTTTTAGAAGTTGGGATTAATGAAAACTGTACTTGGTTCAGGTGAGTGTTTCATTGATGAATATATCGCATTTTGAGAGTGATTTGCTTAAAATTGATTTACCACATAAATACTAAAGACAACATGACTGTGAAAAATTAGCGTCTGAATAAAAAACTTGTTTAAAAGTGATAGTGAATAATGAATAAATACAACTTCCAATACAATTTGGAGTTGATTCAAACATCAGTATAAGGGAAAGTAGACTTCCTTTTTAGGACAAAAGCCATATCCTCCCTATTTATGCAGATTTCTCTGCTGAAGTTTGTTCAGATTATTGGAACTCAGTAAATCTAGAACTATAAAAAGGGTCAACTATAGTTGGTGTGATTAATATCTAAACAGTACTTAAGCCCTGTTACATGGTATAGAAAGAACTTTGCACCTAATTGGGTGCTATTTAGAAATTTGGGGCCATGCATAAGCATTCTTTTTTTTTTTTTCCTGATTGAGGTCAAATTCACATAACATAATTAGTCTTTTTTAAAAAGACAGTTCAGTGGCATTTAGTACATTCATTATGGGCAACTACCACTTTGTCTAGTTCCAGAACCTTTTTTTTTCTGCCAGAGGAAATCCCATACCCTTCAGTGCTCATTCCCCAGCACTCACCAATCTGTTCTGTCTCTATGGATTTCCCTGTTCTGGACATTTCATATAAATGGAATTTTACAGTAGGTGACTTTTTGTGTCTGGCTTCTTTCACTTAGCATCATGTTTTCGAGATTCCTTCATGTTGTAGTGTGTGTCAGTGTTTTATTCCTTTTTGTGGCTGAATAATTTCTGTTGTATGGATAGACTGCATTCTGTTTATCTGCTCATCTGTCAGTGGACATCTGAATTGTTTCCACCTTTTGGCTATTGTGAATAGTGCTGCTGTGAACATTCATGTACCAGGTTTTGTTAAACAAACACTGGTTTTCAGTGACATATACCCAACAGTAGCATTGCTGGATCATGTGATAATTCTATGTTTAATTTTGTGAGGGACTACCAAATTGTTTTCAATAGGGACTGCACCATATCACATTTCTACCAGCCTATATTAGCCATGGTATATAGGTGTGAAGTGGTATCTCATTGTGGTTTTTATTGCACGCATTCTTTTTTTTTTATCAAGGTGTCATTGACATACAATCTTATGAAGATTTCACATAAGCAACATTGTGGTTACTACATTCACCCATATTATTAAGTCCTCCCCACACCTGATTTCCGTCACTGTCCATCAGTGTAGTAAGATACTGCATGCATTCTTAACCCATTTCACTTGTAACATCTTGAGGGGTGTGGCTCTTGGGGAAGCAGAGAGAAGATGGGGGAGACAATGAGAAGGGAAGAAAACAGAGGGTGTAAGTTACAGAGTCTCCTGGTCACAGGATGTAAGATCTGAGTCAACAGTCGGAGACAAAGTCTCCTGGTCACAGGATGTAAGATCTGAGTCAACAGTCGGAGTCTTTCCCTGACCATCCAGAAGATGTGTGCCTTCCAGGGAAGGAGGGATGCTAAATTCCAATTCTTAATCTTCACTTAATTTTATGGCTCAAAATTCTAGCTAAATACATAGGTTCCTTTTACTATTGGATCACTGTGGCCCATGAATTCACCTTGGTAACTTGATATGTGATCCACCCACTTCCCAAGTTTTGGGACACTCTGTGGTGTCTGTAAATCACATGATACCGACATGAGTTCCTCGCATTTTAAATCCAAAGAAAAATATTGCTTCTGTATGTCCTCCCCTGGCTACTTAGGTCCATCCTGGGAAAGCCACTGAAGATAAGTAAGACTCCTTGCTAGTTTTCAATGCTAGTTCCTTTGGCAGTTTTTATTTAGGCACCCAGCCAGCACAACATGAATGCCTCCAGGAAAGGACTTAAAGGCTAAGGCCTACTGGTCATGCACTGAGAAACATCTTACCTTCTTGCAGGGAAAATGCTGGTAAACTACTGGATTCATTAATACAAATAACTCATGTTGCAATGAGAGGCAATTCCGATTACAATGATCTTAGTGATGGCTGGCTCGAAATAATACGTAAGTCAAAGCTGCATATGTGTTAAATGTGTAACTTGGTTATGGAAAAGTGTAGTTAAATTATTCTTTCCACAATGTACAACTTAACATGTCTACAGGTGCAGATGCCCCTGCTGCAGGTACAGACCCATCTGTCAGTGTGCAAGGCATCTGCCTGGATATTCCTACTCAGCTGAATATCCGCATCCTCACCTCAGAGGCGGGGGCAGTGGAAGGGATCACTCAGCGGGAGATCCTTGGTGTAGAGACAAGGTATGATCTCCTCCAGGATAAGTGTAGTTTATAGAGAGGTAAGTTGAAGGCACTCCAAAGAATAGGAAAATGCTTATTTAGAATCTGTTTCCTTACACATCACAATGACTAGCAATATGAGTCTGTGTAAAAAGAGCATGTATCAACTATGTACTGAAAATTGTTCTCACTCACAGTACTTATAAAGCTATGTATAAGGGATTCTGCAAAGTACTTTAGGGGGTGAAAAGATGAATAAGGGGCTGCTTAGTGCTAAGCCTATTTTAAAATCCATAGATATAATTGGCATGCTGATCTGGGAATATTGCCCAGTGGTTAGAGATTTTGGCAGCAGGTAGGTGGGTTCAAACCTGGTTCTGCTAGTAATAAGCTGTGTGACCTTGGACAGTTACTGAATCTTTTCTGAGCTGCAGTTTTCTCATCTGTAAAATGGTAATCATACCTTTATGTGTCAGCCCTCTATCTAGTTTAAGTGGCAGGATCCCGATTCATACTAATTCAAACAAAAGGGGAGTCTATGGCTTCCAGTTCTACAAAGTCTACATACAGCTGATTCATGGCTCATGTCTTGGCTCCTCCTTCCATTGGGTGGATTTCATTTTAGGGAGGTTCTCCTCAAGAGCTGGTGATGATGAACACCAGCAACTCCAGGCTTATCCCCACTTAACAAGTCCAGTGAGATGACCGTGCCTCTTCTCTGTCATTCTCAAACATGATCTGGGAAGTCTTGCTGTTTCAGTCTCAGTTACATGCCCCTTTTTTGAACCAATCCTTGTGGCCAGTGCAGTAGACAGTTACTCATGGACTAGTCTGAGTGATGTGCCCACCCTACATCCCCCTGGTCCCTTCTGCTCCACTCAAAGTGGGGAGGGGTCCCCCAGGGGAAAACTGGGGTGCAGTTACCAGAAGGTGAAGGAATTCTGTATAGGTGGGAATAACAGATGTTCACACCAAGCCTGTGTCATCCTTCTGTTTCGAGGAACAGCCTGACATGCACGTACATGGTGTGTGCAAGACAGTTACTGCTGCACCTAGAATGTGGAAGCCCTCAGAGTTGGCTGTGGGGTTGTGATGATATTGTGAGACAAACAAATGGTAAGACAGCTTTACTTTCAAAGCCCCAGTATGACATGAGATGACTAGAGAGGAGGTGAAAGCTGGATAGTTGTAGCAGCGTGGCAGACCTCTGGAGGCTCATGACCCTGCTTTCTTCCCACGTGCAAGTGAAAATTGGCCTAATGGGCCTACTCCAAAGGGGCAGAGAGCACTGGCAGAATCCGAAACTTCTTCAAGAGAATCTCAATATACGTAGCTACCATGTTGGTTACCTGAGGTGTTTTTTTTTTTTTTAATTAAGATATCATTGATATACAATCTTATGCTCAGGTTTCACATGAGCAACATTGTGGTTACTAGATTCCCCCCTATTATCAAGTCCCCACCACATACCCCATTACAGTCACTGTCCATCAGCATAGTAAGATGCTATAAAGTCACTACTTGTCTTCTCTGTGCTATACTTCCTTCCCTGTGCCCCCCCTATATTATGTGTGCTAATCATAATACCCTTTAATCCCCTTATCCCTCCCTTACCACCCTCCGTCCCCAACCCCATGTCCTTTTGGTAACCTCTAGTCCATTCTTGGGTTCTGTGAATCTGCTGCTGTTTTGTTCCTTCAGTTTTTGCTTTGTTGTTGTACTCCACAGATGAGTGAAATCATTTGGTACTTGTCTTTCTCTGCCTGGCTTATTTCACTGAGCATAATACCCTCTAGCTCCATCCATGTTGTTGCAAATGGTAGGATTTGTTTTCTTCTTATGGCTGAATAATATTCCACTGTGTCTATGTACCACATCTTTATCCATTCATCTACTGATGGACACTTAGGTTGCTTCCATGTCTTGGTTATTGTATGTAGTGCTGCAATAAACATAGGGGTGCATATGTCTTTTTAAATCTGTGATCCTGTTTTCTTAGGGTAAATTCCTAGGAGTGGAATTCCCTGGTCAAATGGTATTTCTATTTTTAGTTTTTTGAGGAACTTCCATACTGCTTTCCACAATGGTTGAACTATTTTACATTTCCACAAGCAGTGTAGGAGGGTTCCCCTTTCTCTGCATCCTTGCCGGCATTTGTGGTTGCTTGTCTTTCAGATGTTGGCCATCCTAACTGGTGTGAGGTGATATCTCATTGTGGTTTTAATTTGCATTTCTCTATGATTAGTGATGTGGAGCATCTTTTCATGTGCCTATTGGCCATCTGAATTTCTTCTTTGGAGAAGTGTCTGTTCAGATCCTCTGCCCATTTTTTAATCGGGTTATTTGCTTTTTGGGTGTTGAGGCAAGTGAGCTCTTTATATATTTTGGATGTCAATGCCTTATCGGATATGTCATTTATGAATATATCCTCCCATACTGTAGGATGCCTTTGTGTTCTACTGATGGTGTCCTTTGCTTTTTAGTTTGATGTACCCCCACTTGTTCATTTTTGCTTTTGTTTCCCTTGCTCAAGGAGATATGTTCATGAAAAAGTTGCTCATGTTTATATTCAAGAGAGCTTTTCCTGTTTTTTTCTAACAGTTTTATGGTTTCACGACTTATATTCAGGTCTTTGATCCACTCCGAGTCTACTTTTGCGTATGAGGCTAAGATAGTAATCCAGTTTCATTCTCTTACATATAGCTGTCCAGTTTTGCCAGCACCATCTGTTGAAGAGGCTGTCATTTTCCCATTGTATATCCATGGCTCCTTTATCATATATTAATTGGCCATATATGTGTGGGTTTATATCTGGGCTCTCTGTTCTTTTTCATTGATCTATGGCTCTCTTCTTGTGCCAGTACCAAATTGTCTTGATTACTGTGGCTTTGTAGTACAGCTTGAAGTTGGGGAGTGTAATCCCCCAGCTTTATTCTTCCTTCTAATGATTGTTGTGGCTCTTCAGGGTCTTTTGTGGTTCCACATGAATTTTAGAACTGTTTGATCTAGTTCGTTGAAGAATGTTGTCAGTATTTTGATAGGGATTGCATTAGATCTGTAGATTGCTTAGGCAGGATGGCCATTTTGGCAATATTAATTCTTGCTGCCCAAGAGCATGGGATGTATTTCCATTTATTTGTGTCTTCTTTAATTTCTCTCAAGAGTGTTTTGTAGTTTTCAGGGTATAGGCCTTTCACTTCCTTTGTTAGGTTTATTCCTAGGTATTTTATTCTTTTTAATGCAATTGTGAATGGAGTTGTTTTCCTGATTTCTCTTTCTGCTAGTTCATTGTTAGTATATAGGAATGCAACAGATTCTCTGTATTAATTTTGTATCCTATAACTTTGGTGAATTCAGATATTAGTTGTATGAGTTTTGGGGTGGATTCTTTTGGATTTTTTATGTACAATATCATATAATCTGCAAGCAGTGACAGTTTAACTTCTTCCTTGGCAATCTGGATCCCTTTTATTTCTTTGTGTTGTCCAATTGCCATGGCAAGGACCTTCAGTACTATGTTGAATAAAAGTGGGGAGAGTGGGCATTCTTATCTTGTTCCCGATCTTAGAGGAAAAGCTTTTAGCTTTTCACTGTTAAATATATTGTTGGCTGTGGGATTGTTGTATATAGCCTTTATTATGTTGAGGTACTTGCCCTCTATACCCATTTTGTTGAGAGTTTTTTTATCCTGAATGGGTGTTGAATTTTGTCAAATGCTTTTTCAGCATCTATTGAGGTGATCATGTGATTTTTGTCCTTCTTTTTATTGATGTAGTGGATAATGTTGATGGGTTTTTGAATGTGTACCATCTTTGTGTCCCTGGAATGAATCCCACTTGATCATGATGTATGATGTTTTTTATGTATTTTTGAATTTGGTTTGCTGATATTTTGCTGAGTATTTTTGCGTCTGTGTTCATCAGAGATATTGGTCTGTAATTTTCTTTTTTTGTGGTGTCTTTGCCTGGTTTTGGTATTAGAGTGATGCTGGCTTAATAGAATGAGTTTGGAAGTATTCCCTTCTCTTCTACTTTTTTGAATACTTTAAGGAGAATGGGTATTAGGTCTTCACTAAATGTTTCATAAAATTTAGCAGTGAAGCCATCTGTTCTAGGAGTTTTGTTCTTAGGTAGTTTTTTGATTACCAATTCAATTTCATTGCTAGTAATTGGTCTGTTCAGATTTTCTGTTTCTTCCTGGGTCAGTCTTTCAAGGTTGTATTTTTCTAGAAAGTTGTCCATTTCTTCCAGGTTATCCACTTTGTTACCATATAATTTTTCATAGCATTTTCTAATAATTCTTTGTATTTCTGTGGTGTCCATAGTGATTTTTCCTTTTTTCATTTTTTATTCTGTTTATGTGTGTATACTTTTTTTTATAACTCTGGCTTGGGGTTTATCTATTTTTTTTATTTTCTCAAAGAACCAGCTCTTAGTTTCATTAATTTTTTCCTATTGTTTTATTCTTCTCAATTTCATTTATTTCTTCTCTGATTTTTATTATGTCCCTCCTTCTGCTGACTTTGGGCCTCATTTGTTCTATTTTTTCCAGTTTTATTAATTGTGAATTTAGACTGTTCATTTGGGATTGTTCTTCCTTTTTTAAATAGGCCTAAATTGCCATATACTTCCCTCTTAGAACCTCCTTTGCTGCATCCCACAGAAGCTGCAGTACTGAGCTGTTGTTTTCATTTGTCTCCATATATTGCTTGATCTCTGTTTTAATTTGGTCATTGATCCATTGAATATTTAGGAGCATATTGTTAAGCCTCCATGTGTTTGTGAGCCTTTTTGTTTTCTTTGTACAATTTATTTCTAGAAGTTGGTTGTGATCTGAGAAGTTGGTTGGTACAATTTCAGTCTTTCTGAATTTGAGAGGCTCTTTTTGTTTTGTGGCCTAGTATGTGATCTATTATGGAAAGTGTTCCATGTGCACTTGAGACGAATGTGTATCCTGTTGCTTTTGGATGGAGTGTTCTGTAGATGTCTGTTAGGTCCATCTGTTCTACTGTGTTGTTCGGTGCCACTGTCTCCTTACTTATTTTCTGCCCAGTTGATCTATCCTTCCGAATGAGTGGAGTGTTAAAGTCTCCTAGAATGAATTGCATTACATTCTATTTCCTCCTTTAATTCCGTTAGTATTTGTTGCACATATTTGGGTGCTCCTATGTTGGGTGCACAGATATTTGTAATGACTATATCCTCTTGTTGGACTGTCCCCTTTAACATTATATAATGTTACTGTCTTTGTTTTGAAGTCTCTTTTACTGATACAAGTATTGCAACTCCTGCTTTTTTCTCGCTATTGTTTGCATGAAATATCTTTCTCCATCCCTTCACTTTTAGTCTGTGTATGTCTTTGGGTTTGAGGTGAGTCTCTTGTAAGCAGCATATAGATGGGTCTTGCTTTTTTATCCATTCTGTAACTCTGTGTCTTTTGATTGGTGCATTAAGTGCATTTACAATAGGGTGATTTTTTATAGATATGTATTTATTACCATTGCAGGCTTTGGATTCATGGTTACCAAAAGTTCAAGGGCAGTTTCTTTATTATCTAACAATGTAACTTATCTTGCTTATTACACTATTATAAACACAATCTGAAGGTTCTTTTTTTTTTCTCTCTCTCTTTCTTCCTCCTTCACTCTTTATGTTAGGTGTCATATTCTGTACTCTGTGTATCCCTTGACTGACTGTGGGTAGCTGATTTAATTTTGCATTTGGTTAGTAATTAATTGGTCTACTTCTTTTACTGTGTTTTTATTTTCTCTGGTGACAGCTATTTAGCCTTAGGAGCACTTCCATCTAGAGAAGTCCCTTTAATATATACTGTAGAGATGGTTTGTGGGAGGTAAATTCCCTCAACTTTTGCTTATCTGGGAATTGTTTAATATCTCCTTCAAATTTAAATGATAATCTTTCTGGGTAGAGTATTTTTGGTTTCAGGCCCTTCTGTTTCATTGCATTGAATATATCATGCCACTCCCTTCTGCCCTATAAGGTTTCTGCTGAGAAGTCTGTTGATAGCCTGATGGGTTTTCCTTTGTTAGGTGATCTTTTTTTCTCTCCCTGACTGCTTTTAATACTCTGTCCTTGTCCTTTATCTTTGCCTTTTTAGTTATTATATGTCTTGGTGTTATCTTCCTTGGGTCCCTTGTGTTGGGAGATCTTTGCACTTCCATGGCCTGAAAGACTATTTCCTTCTCCAGATTGGGGAAGTTTTCAGCCATTATTTCTTCAAAGACACTTTCTATCCCTTGTTCTCTCTCTTCTTCTGGTACCCCTATAATGCAAATTATAATATATTTTTCTGTTTGGATTGGTCACACAGTTCTCTTAATATTCTTTCACTCCTAGAGATCTTTTTTTTCTCTCTCTGCCTCAGCTTCTTTGTATTACTCTTCTCTAATTTCTATTCCATTACTGTCTCCTCTACCTCATCCAGTCTGCTTTTAAATCCCTCCATTGTATGTTTCATTTCAGCTACTGTATTTTGTAAGGTGTCCTTCTCTCTCCTGAATTTGTCCCTTAGCTCTTGAAAATTTTCCTGTAGCTGTACTAGCAGCTTTACTGACTTTTACTTTGAATTATTTTTCAGGAGGATTGGTGATTTCAGTTTCACTAAGTCCTCTTTCTGGTGTTTGAGTGATTTTGGATTGAACAAGGTTCTCTGCCTTTTCATAATTCTATCTGATAGTGAGAAATATTAGGTTTGTGTAGGCCGCACCCTCTAGTGCCCAGAAACTCTGCTCTTCAGAGTGCCCAGTACCTGGAGTGATGGCAGTGGTCACAGTTGAATGGTGCCAGTACCTACCCTAAAGCCCTTCCTGCTTCCTGGCCTCAGTGCCTGCCTCCGCTGTCAGGGCCAGTGAGCTGCGCGCAGTGTGCAGCCTCTGCATTAATCCCCTAAGCTGCCTTGGGTGGGGCTGTCCTCTGGCTGGCCTGGAGCGATGGTGGGGATTGCAGACAAGCGGCACCAGTGCCTGCCAGGAGGACAAAGTCCTTTCCTGCTTCCCAGCCACAGTGCCTGCCTCCCCTGTCAGGGCCAGTGAGTTGCACACAGGGAGCAGCCTCTGCATTAAGCCTGTGTAGTTGTAGCAGGCTCTGATTGGCCTGGAGCAATGGCGGGGACAGCGGGTTTGCGTGCAGGTGCCAGTGGAGAGAAAGAAGTGGCAGGCTGCTTATTGCAGTGGGGGACCTCAGGGCTGTGTTGCCAGTCAGGGGGATGGAGCTCCTGAAGCTCCTGAAAATTCCCAACCTGTTGGGCCAAGTGTGCTGGGGCAATCTTGTTCACCTGTTCCTTCTCCAGAATCCTTGTGCCTTTAGCAGCCATCTCACTGGCTTTCAAAGCACCTGCCTTTCTTTTGTCCCAGGGAAGCCAGTTGTGGGAACCTGTTTGCTACATGCAGCTGGAACCTCAGTCTCTGACTTTGCTTTTCAACCTTTCTAATCTCCAGAGCACCATGCAATGTGAGTTTGTGCTCCTAGAGTAGATTTGTAGGGCTGGGTATTTAGCAGTCCTGGACTTCTACTCCCTCCCTGCTCTGGTTCTCTTCCTCCCACTGGTGAGCTTGGGTGGGGGGAGTGCTTGAGCCCGCCAGGTTGTCGCTTTGTTTCTTTACCCTTTTCTGTGAGATGTTCTCTTTTCCCAGATGTAGACTGGCTGATGAAATCTTACTTCTGGTCACTCTTTTAGGAATAGTTATATTTGCTGTATTTTTATATTATATGTGGTTTTGGTAGGAGATTTCTGCCTCACTTCTCACGCTGCCATTTTTTTCCCGTCTCCACCCCAGTCTGCCTGAGGTTCTTCACAGAGTGGTGGACGTGTTGCCCACAAACTCCTTCTTCCCAGTTTCTCCTCTAGGAGCTGGCAGTTCCAGTGTGGGCTCACTTGTGAGAATGAGGTTGACCTCTTCCCTGTCAGTGTGGCAGTGCAGTTTATTGAGATCCCTGCACGCTTACCTCAGCCGCAGACAAGGTAATCTGCTTGCCGACCTAGTTGATGTTATTAGGAAGCAGAGAAATACATATTTGAAAACAAGACATTTCTTTAATCATGTTTTTATGCTTCTTATCAAAAGCATGCTTTGTTGTAACTATTGTAATCTTCTAAAATGTTTTATAGATTCCAGATTAATTTTACCGAGTATGACTGTGACAGAAATGAGGTGTGTTGGCTGCAACTTCTATATCCATTGACACGGTATTATCTAGGTAGGAGAACCAGATTTCTGGGATGGTTATCATTATGTGATGTCAATTAACATATTTTTTTAAATGTGTGAATGTCACTGAAACTTAAGGCATATAGAAAAGCTTAAAAAATTTACTGATAATATTACCCCTTAGAAATGATCACTATTAATGTTGTCTTATTTCTACCTATATAATTATTAAAAAAGACAAGAAATACAAATGTCGCTTAATTTGGTTCATTGTCTTGCAGGAGAGCCTTATTCTCAGTGTGTTGCCAAGGGCTTCCTATTGGTATCCTTCTTATTTACTTTACTCCTCAGTACCTCCTGGACCAGGATATGCAAACCTTGAAAGCAATGACCATCTAACTTCTTATAGACCATAGACTTTTATTTCCATGATTCTTTTAGAACTCCTCTGTGTCCCTCTGTAACATTTTAATATTAATAAAGTATTTTTTTGTGTGTGTGGAACTTTTATTACATGCTCTGAGAATTTAATTCACATGTGTAGGTATCCAGATGTGCAAAGTGGTGCAGGACGGGCATTCTCATCACTGGACCAGACCAAGCAAAATGCATGAGAGGGTCCACTGTGTACATAAATGTTAAAAGCTTTAGTTTATGACAAATTATTAAAGTCATAGGAGTTTTGGTCCAAATATGTTATTTGTACTTTTAGAGAGTCAGTCTTTTCTCCTACTTTTAGTATATTTCTGTTGTATTAATTTTCCCCATTCCAAAGAAAAAATGAAACATTCATAAAGCCTTAAGAAACGTATATAATACAGAAGCAAAAAATAAATGGATGAGGAAAGACGGGGGCATGGGTGGGGGATTTACAGGGAAAGTGTCAAATAACACCAGGAGCAACTGTAGTAAGCCTGTGAGAATGTATGCCAAACAGCTTGGTTTAGCAAAGGCAGACCCTGCTTTACTTTTCTGTTTACACAAAAGAAAGATGCTTAGCCACAGGAATCATTGAAGCTGATTTTGAGATCATGAGATAAGCTGGTTTTCTGTGAAGGACAGTTTTTGCTATTTGAGTGTTGAGAGACATTCCTCCCACCGCCCCTCTGAAGGGGACAGCCAGCCTGGTTGGTTGGGTGGGTGGGATTTCTTCAACGCTAGCCCTGTAGAGGCTACACAGCAATCTCCTTGTTTCCTTTGTGGACCAGATAAATTTTGTCATCATTTCAAATGGACTTTCTACACCAACCATAAAGTTACTCCTGGAAAGTGCCTCTTCTCTTTCATACTCTTTGAATTCCTAGTGCCCCCTGACGTCCCAGCACCACATAGAATATCTTGCTGCATCTTCCCTCAGAGTTCCCACCCAGGGGGAGTTTCAAATCTCCCTTCCAATCTAAATCTGTAAGTCCAGTTCTGTTTTTTACTAATAGTACACTAGTATCTAAATGACATAAAAAAAAGTCTCCCTAGTACCACTGTTTGTGTTGCTTTGGGGAAACACTGGATCCGTTCCCCTCCTGTTTTTCTTTTTCTGTTTTCTGGATCTCTACAGTGGAAGGGATCACATCCTATAGAAGGAATGGGAGCTGTCTTTTATCAAAGGAGAGGAAATAGCCACTGATTAATAAGTTACAGTGAATCACAAAGTGTGTCTATGGCAGGTAGTGTAACGAGCTCTGGAAAATTTAACATTTCCAGGTAATTGAGCCTGATCGTGTTGGCTTTGTTAGGATGGCTTTTGTACTTAAAAAAGGGCAATATTCACTGACAGAGGAATGGCATCTGAAGGGCATACTCTATGGTTTCAACTCATCTAACTTCACACATTCATGTATGCATTGGATAAATATTCATCTATTTCTGGGCTATGATGTGCTGTGCCCTGAACAATTTCTCTTGTCCGGTGGAGCTTACATTCTAGTAGGGGAGAGCTGGCAATAAACACAGAGAAGGTAATTTCAGGCAGTGGGAGTTGCTGTTAGGAAGTAAAATGGGTGGCGTGGGAGGGCCCCTTTACTGGGCGTCAGGGACGATCTCACCTAGGGGCAGTTATATGAGCTGGGACTTGAAGGAGCCAAGTTTGAGGAGGTCTGGAAGAAGGGGTCTAGGCCCAAGGAGGGATCAGCAGGCTCAGGAACAATGACTTAGCAAGAAAGGCAGGCAGAATTCCTGGGGTAAAGGGAGCCCAAGGTAGGCGGTGGAGATGCGTCTGGGGACTGGAGGCCAGATCTGCACACCAAGTTGGGATTTGCATCAGAATGCAGAAGAAGAAGCCAGAGGATGTAAAATAGCTCATCGGACTTTTGCGGTTCGGGAGATTTGCTGGGGGATACTTGTGGCCCTGGGATCGCGGAGGGTGAGTAGGAACAGCACCCGAGTTGGGGACAGCGGCGGGAGCAAAGCCACGTAGGGAAGTGAGATGTCCGGAGCAGGCGGACCCGTGGGGGCCACGCTGCTCTGCGGTGGCGGGGCTGAGGAATGAGTGGAGCCGGGGATGCTATCGTTTTGCCAGGAATGTTCTGAAACCAGGCGTGATGAGGGCTACACAGCTAGCTCTACGTTTACCGAAAATCAGACCCGTCCGCTCCTGGCGGGTGAGCTTTGCGGCACGTGAGCGCAGTAAAACTCGTTTTAAGAAGCTGCATTCAGTGGATCCCGGGATAACCAGGACCACAGCCGCCTGGGGATCACATGTGAGCTCCCACGGCCCCTGCAGTCACTCAGGGCGCCCATTGGTCTGTTGAGGGGCGTGGGCACGCGCGGGGGCGGGGCCTGGAGAGGCTTTGGCTGTGGCTGGAGCAGCGCGGAGGCGCCAGGTTCGGGGCGTCCGCCGTAGCGGCGCGTGTCTCCATGTTGCGAAGCCAGGCCCAGGCCAGCGGAAGCCCGAAGCCCAGGTCATTCGTTTCAAGAAGCTCCACCCAGCCGCCCTGGAGGTATCCCCGGTGCAAGGCCGTTCAGGTTGCGCCTATAGACCCCCCCCCACGCTCCGCCTCCGTCATCCGGCGCGCGCGGAAGCGAAACCGGAAGCGGCAGGCGATGCGTGGGGGCGGGGCTTGGAGACCGTTCTGGCCGCCGCTGGAGTGTGTCTGCGGTGGGAGGACCCGGGTTGTCGGGCCGCTCTTATGCCGCAGCAGGAGCCCGAGGGCCAGGCCATCCCGATGAACGTTAGGCCCTGCGGCCCTCCATTGGGTCCGTGTACCGGAGCGAGACCCTGTGTCTGACGCAGCCCCTTCCTACGGGCCGGCACAGCCTCCGAGGGCCTCCGCGCGCTGGACTAGAAAGCGCCTGGGCCGGTCCCGAGACGCGAGTGTCGCCTGCGAGACACCGCCCCTGTGGGCGAGGGCCCGCGGCCCGCTTTCCGCTGGGCCTGCCGCCCGGCTGCGGGGGGGGGGCGCGCTGCCCACCTCCCCGGGGGAGGCCAGGGTCCGCCTCGGCTGCCGTCCTCAGCCACGGACAGTGCCTCGGACGCTCGGGAGACCCGGGCCTGGGCCGGGCACCGGCCTTGGGGGACCCATCCTCCCAGGCCTCTCGGAGTGCTTCTGGAACTTAGAGGATGGCGGGAACAAATACTCAGCAATTGAGTAGGTAAACCAGTGTTTGCTATGAAGAAAATGGGAGGGGATGGTATGATGGTGACGGGTGGGAGTGGTCCAGGGAAGCCCCCAGGAGGTGAGTGGAGAGGCGGATGGGAAGGAGCCCGCGTCCCCGGTGGCGGGAACAGGAAAAACCCAGAGCCTGAAGTGGGACTGGGCTTGAGGGAAGGGATTTGTGTTGGTTTTGTTCACTGATGTATAGTGCCGTTCATACCTCTGCCCGATAAGGGATGGGAGCTGTCTCCCCAGGAAGTAATGGCCAACACCTGTTTATGTGTGTGTTTATTGTTTATGACTTGTTTACACCATCAGCTGTCAGCCCCCAAGGGTTAGGCCTTGCCTGACTTGTTCACTCCTGGTTCCGCAAGACTTAGCACAGCGTTTGCCCCTTGTGGGCATAAACAGGCATCTGTGGAAAGAGTGGACAACCTTTTCTTGAGTGCTTGCTTCATCCCAGACACTGTTATCAGTGTTGGGGACTCGGCAGTGAGCAGGGCACACCAAGTCCCTGCTTTATTGCCCACAGTCTAGGAGGACACAGAAACACACTGGGATGAAGGCAAGGAGCAGGGAGGTGGGAGGGAGGTAATTCAGCAGGATGTAGTATGTACCGACTGAACTGAAAGTCACTTGAGGTAGGCATTTTATTTCCTGGGCCACAAATTTCATCTCCTGGTTGTTTCCCTTCATCTTTCTTAGGGGCCCCTAAGTTCCAAAGGGAACACCCCTCCCCAAGATCTGGTGTCAGTGATTCCTGCCTTGGTCCCATAAGGCAATTGCAAGGTCCGGGAGACACTGCTGAGTGACAGGTAAGGGTGCAGGGAAGACCCAGCTTTCTTGGTGGTTCTTGGGACCTCTTGGGCTTCAGTACATGGTACCCACTGAGCTGGCAGGTGCTGTCCTGAGCTTAGACTAGCACCCAAAAGCTTCAGGAAACAGTCTGGAGAGAAACAGCCTCCCTTCTTTATAACAGGTAGACTGTTCTGTCCTGTTACTACTCAAGCCAAGAGACTTCCCAAACTTAAATCTTAGAGGTTGAACCGAAGGCCTAATTTTCACAAAGATTGGAGTTACACTGAGTGCTGTTACATGAGGTAGTAGAGTGGACTCAGGTCCTTTTTAACTAAAAATCAGGGAAAGACAAAGAAAAGTGCAGCTTCTCATTTTCCAGCAAGAAAATATAATGAAAATGCTGCAGTGAGCTCTTCTTGGGTGATGTCAAGCTCTCTGGGCTCAGAGGAGTGTGTGTGTGTGTGTATGTGTCTGGGTTGCCTGCCAAGCAGCAGGCATGCCTGTGCATAAGGCTGCGTCCCACCTGACATCTCTTCTGCTCTCTCTGGGCTTTCTTCCTGACTTTGGGTGTACCGGATGGGATCGCTGAAGCCTGTGTTTCTGGCCTGCATAGGCTGGGTGAATTTTTCCCTTTTCTTTCTAAGGTGAAGGAGTCAGGCCAGAGGTTTCTGTAGGAACAGCCAGTGAGAAGACCTGGAAAAGAAAGGTTATCAGCAAACCCGTAGGACTCAGGAAGGAACAGTTCCTCTCACTTTTGTAGCGGTCTGTCGCCCAAGAACAGCGTTCACCTTTGGTCCTTGAGCTGCTGGAGTGGGCAGATCACTGGTGTGGGTATCGGTAGGGTCTGCCGGGTTTTCTAGGTTAAGTATTAGTCTTAAAAGGAATCTATGTTGAAATGTACATTAGTCCCCCCTTCATTGCCGGACATAATGTTCTGAGACCCCCAGTGGATAACCGAACTGTGGATAGTACCCAACTCTCTCTGTGCTATGTTTTTTCCTGTACACACCTACCTATGACATAAAGTTTAATTTATAAATTAGGTAGAATAAGAGATTCACAACAATAATAAAATATAGCATTTGTAACAATAGACTGTAGAAAAGGTTATGTGAATATGATGTCTTTGTCTCAACATAATCTTACTGGACTGCCCTCACCTTTCTTCTAGTGATGATGTGAGGTGGTAAAATGCCTGTATGACAGGATGAAGCAAGGGCAGTGATGGCTGCACTGTGTCGCAGCATTAGGCCACTGTTGACCCGACAGTGTGTCAGAAGAAGGATCATCTGCTTCCTGACTATGGTCGCCCACAGGTAAGGGGATACAGGAAAGAAATCATGAACGGGGGTGGGGTGGGGGGGGCTGCTGTATTTCGTGTCATTAGCCTGGAATTAGGGTGACAGTTGCCTCCCTAACCAGGAAACAGAAACAAAACTTTGAAAAAGAAACCATGCAACAGGAGAACACAGTTAATATATGTAAGGTGGTGACGGTGGTGGATGTCAAATCCAATCACATTTGTCTCATTGCCACAAATTTGCCTCTTCCTAAAGAGTCTATTTGTAGAACCATAATGTATTTAAGGTGATCAGAGTTTGGTACTGAAGAGCAGAGATGGAAACGGAGAACAAGTGTCATTTGTAGACAGGTTTTGTTGCATAGCTTCCTCTTGGCGCTCTGAGTCCTCTGAGAGGTAGAATGTATCTGAATCACTGAGAGTTTGAAAGTGGTTGCTTTAGATGAGTATGACTTCCAGAAATGAATACAAATGTGATAAACAGAAGTGAAAGTCAAATTCTTATCTTTCTTCTTGTTAAATTCTCTAAAAAAAGAGATTCGAAAAGTAAAGAAGTGAACCTTTGCGGTAGACACTTCTCAGTTTGATCAGTTTCATGCTGAGCTGTTGTCTACTTGTGTGTGTGGAGAGTGCCCTGCACAAATGCTGGATGGAGCAAAGATAGAATTCTTGCCCTAATGCCTTTTACCACAAATGATTGCTGTAATTGTTTTTTTATGGTGAAAGTAGTATAGGTCTATACTACTTTGGAAGTTTGGAAGACATAAGAGTGAAATAATAACTTCCACAATCCCATTACTTAGAATAAACACTTTACCTTTCTTTATGGGGTGTTTCTGGGGAAAGGCAATGTTTCAGGCTTGTTTGGTACCACTTGACACATTGCTTTCCAGAAAATTGGGTCAGTTTATACTCCCATTCAGTAGTGTACGAGGATGTGCTTTTCCCCAAAAACTCTTGGCCATGATATTTTATTTTTCAAATGAAATCTTTGAAATTTTAGAAAATTCAAAGCAAATCTGTCATCCTTTTTTCAGCTCAACTAGAATGTAAGGTTTTTCTAAAGGAAATTTTGCTGGTGAGGGGAAGAGACATGAAGAATGAGAGCAGATATTAGGTAAGTTAATTGTAAGAACTTAAATTATTTTTGCCTAAGCAAAGTGTTCACTTTAGAAAAATCAGAAAATATATATAGATAAGTGGAGAGCAAACAAGTCCTATTCTCACCATTCAGGGATAATCATGTTGTTATGTTTATTTTTATACTTTCTAGTATTCATCTATAAAATAAATAAAAGTAAGAATCTACATATGTTATGATCTGGCTATTGTGTTACCTGCTTTGTTTGGTCACTTAATGGTATTACTGGGACATCTTCATGTCCATAAAGAGACTGAGCCCTCATTATGTTAATGGCTGTGTAGTATTTCATTGTAATAAGTGCCATGATTTATTTAACCAATCCTTTGTAGTTGAATATAACTTAAAAGAATTGTATACATGTTAGTATATGTCTTAAAATTATATCAAAGAACAAGGGAGGTAGGAATTGGCAGATAGATTGGTTGATAATTCCCTTTTTCTCAGAGCTTCATTTTATGTTAGTGCATATTCAAGAAGTGCAAAGTAAATAGAAATAGTCTCCGGATTCTGAGTTAGGAGGCTATTAGGTAATGGAACATACTCCTTTTCCAATAGGTGTAAAGATTGTTCATTCCCCCCACACTTGGACCAGAATGTGGATGTGAAGATTTGGATTTACAGTATGATAGGATGTGATGTTGAGCAAGTAGCATAATTAAATATCTTTTCACTGCAAGGTTTCCTTATGGAAGCTGTCTAAATGTCACCATGACTTCAGTGTTAGCTACAGAAAGAGGTAATGAATTTGAAGGATAAATGCTTGTAACAGTCTGTGTTATGAAAAGGGAATTTTCATTGTACTGAAAAATAAAATCAGTGCATTACACTTATCCTACCTTATAAATTTTAGTCACTTGATTCTGTTCCAGTCCAACTGTGACTTCTTTGGTTTGTTATAACTAGTCTATTGTCTTACACTTGGGTTTTTGTTGGCGTAATAGATACCCACCTCAGATATGTTTTATGCATGTTTCATTTCAGGGTTGAGCATGGAGGGTTGGTCACAGTGATTTGGAAAACAGTGATCATGCTTTTTCCAGCATGACTAGACTGTGGTGATACTTTGTTGTTTTGTTCATAGCTGAATATCTTTGTTATTTTCAGAGATGATGGCTGTTATCGCAGACTGGGTGCATCAGCCCCTTGGTCCTGGTCCTTGTGACATAACAGCTGGGGCTGGGGACATTCGCTGCCGCCGCCACCAGGTAGGCCCTTTCAGATCATCGGGTGCAAAAGTGATGATGCCGGTAGCATGTGAAGGATGCCCGCAGTTCCCCATCAACCGCTGTTTGATGATGGATGGTCTTTCTACACTGAGATTGTATTTCCTGTTGCAGATAGTTTTCAAATTCAGTTTTGTTATCCAGCACTGTCTGTCTAGTTTAGGGAAGAAGAATATGTATTTCTTTGGAAGGATTATACCAAGCAGATAGTGTCAATAGCCTATTAGAAGCCTTGATGAGATGTCAAAAGGAAAGACAAGAATATTTTTTTGTTATAAAAAAGAGAGGGTAGGATGAGAGAAAAACCAAACACCAGAAATTGAATGAGAATCCTCTCTATGCTAACCTCTAAGAAGAGCATCCAAAGCTCTCTTCAGCAGCTCACACCAAATAGAGGCCTTTTGAGGACTTGAGAAGGTGCCTATCTACAAGCCAGGAAGCACTTTCACTAGAAATCAAATACGCTGTCACCTTGGGCTTGGACTTCTAGCCTCCAGTAACTGTGAGAAAATAAACCGTTGTTAAAGGCACACAGTCTGTGGCATTTTGTTACTGCAGCCCAATCTGAAATGGTGTATAGGAACAATATTGTTCCTAGCAATAGTGCTAAAATTACCTTTAAAATCTTGCCTCTGATAATCATAGTTCTCCCTCTTTCTCTCCAGTCCACATAATTTTTGAACTTCATTCCCTGTCTTGAATTGCCCTGATTAGGATGACGATTAAGTGCTTGTTAGTATGAGAGATAGAGGTGTCATCCCAGTAGTGCCCTCCTGTAATTTTAATGTTTCTAAAGTTGTACTTTAACTATGATGTGGTTGGTAGCTATCCTTTATCTTAAAAGGAAGTTGCTTCCCATTCTTAGTTTGTTAAGGATTATCATAAAGGATTGTTGAAATGTATTGGATATTTTTCTTAAGCTTATGTTTTTTATATTAACCTATTTCTACATTAACTGATAATTTGAATACATTAATAAACTCAATTATCTTTGACATATTATTTATTTGTACTGTTGAACAATATGAGATTGTCCTTTTGTGGGTTCGTCTCATCACTCTTCCACATAATAGATCACTTCAAAATTTAGTCACTTACTATGTCTCAGTTTTTTGGGTCAGAAATTCAAGATAGGTTCAGTTTTGCAGTCTTGTCTTGGTGTCCCTCATGTGGTTGCAATCAGGTGATGCCTGGATCTAGAACAGCAGGGGGCTAGAATACCCAGGGTGGTATAGGCATCTCTCATTCTTCCCTTGGATTCTTAGTGTGAGCTGTGTGGACTTCATCACATCATGGCAGCCTCAGGACTGTTGGACTGCTTACTTGGCAGGTGAAGTCTTCATCAGTGAATGTTCCTGTGAACAACTGGAAGGTGCCTCTACATTTATGACCTAGCCTTGGAAGCCACACAGCTTCATTTCTGTTGCATTCTATTGGCTACAAGTAAATCACCAGACGATCCAGATTCAAGGAGCAGGGGATATAGACCTCCCTTCCCAATGGGAGGAATGGCAAAGTCACATTGTCACATTAAGAGAATGGTGGATATGGAGAGCATTGTAGCAGTCTTTGGAAAACACAACTTGCCACAATCTGTCTTCTGGCTTTGACAAATCACACCCACAAACTATCCTCATCTGCTCTCCTGAGACCCCTTATAATGTCTTACCCATCATGGCTTCAGACTGAAGTCTAGGGTCTCACCATCTTAATCAGGTACTGCTGCAGATGAGGCTGTTCAGGGCTGTTCCCTTGGGTACAGCTCGTTAGGTGCTATTTGTGTCAATCTGAATACCTGTAACCTCAAAGACTCAAAATATAATAGTGGGGGCAGTGCTGTAGCTACTATTTAATATTGGGAACAGCAGCACTGGTCCATAGACATTTCTAAATCCCACTGGGTATATGTTACCAGTGCATTGAGTAGAGCTCAGTTCTGCTCTGTGGGAATTCTCTGTAGCTGTTGGCTGTACCTGTTGGATCTTGGCACTGTTATCTAACTCATCCTTATTCACAAAAAGTGATCCATATTTGCAACTGAGTATTCTTCTCAGCTTCCTTTCCTGCCCAAAAAAGGTTGGGAGTCCAAAGATCTCTTTTTATTTTGTACAGGGTTTGTCCTTCTCAGTCCAAGTTAATATGGCTTGTTTCAAAACTTTATTGTGTGCATATATGTATACTCTTACAGTGTAGTTAGCTTTAACACTTTGTGCTGTGAATCCTACCTAATAGCAGCTATGAATTCTTTACTTGGACTCTTTTTTTTTTTTTTTTCTGGTATCATTAATCTACAGTTACATGAGGAACATTATGTTTACTAGACTCCCCCCATCACCATTCACTTGGACTCTTAATCAATGATTTTGGATTTAGCCATACTTCACCATAATTTTGTCTTGTATTTTTCTTCTCAAGTATTTTCCAATTTCACCATTTTAGATACTCATGTTAACGCTTTAGTTAGTGTGTCTCCAGCCTCAAGCAATGAGAAATATTCTTGGAAACTGAGGTTGTGATGAAGTTTTCTTAAAAAACAATTCTTGCCCAGATGTGCAACTTGGTTCTTAGGACTCACAACTGACTCCATGACTTACCTCACTGAGAGGGCTTACTGACTTCTATTCTCAGAGGTAAGCTCTGAAATTTCTGCTTTACGAGTATTTTGGTGGAGGAGTAGTTGTACATATGTGTTGTTGGCAGTGGTGAGGGAGGCAGGGATACATAGGAAAATACACAGTGAGCTTTTTATGTATCAATTAGGCAAAAGCCACTTCCCCAAAAAATCTGTCAGAGCTTTTTGGGCTCTCCATGAGCCTTCTGTGAGACCACACCCCCAAGGTGCTTAGGAGCTATGTTGTTCTAGATGGAGGGTCCACAGGGGAATTCCTCCAAAGTCCTTAGAAGGCTTTCTTTTTTTTTTGTCTGAAGGGGTTTATGAGATGCCCCCTTAGTTCTTTCTGAAATCTTACCTAAGGATATTATGGTCCCTGAACACCTTTCTTGCTCTGAGAACCCTTTACTTACTGGCTGAAAAGACTGTCCTCCGCCGTTTGACATCCTCCACAGAATGTTCATGTTCAGCACCGCTCTCCTCCTCATTACCAGTAAGAAGCCAGCAGCACTGAACACTGTACCTATGAAACTCTCAGCTGTACCACTAAGGTCATTGCCTTAAGTCCTATTTTCCATTTACATTAGGGGACAGTGTTGATAAACTTTCTGCCATACATAGCAGCCTCCTTTCTCCATTTTCCAGTGCTGCTTTTCCTCATGTTCTTCACCAACACCCTCCTTGGTGACCATTAGGCTCTGCTTACACCCTGTCTGTGGGTCCTTCAGGCTTTCATTACATTTTCCTCAAGATTCTTACAGATTATGCTTATTACCTTGTGCCAAAGCCAGTGGCACATGTTTCAAGATTTTGTCACAGTAGCACACCACTTCCAATGCCAAATTTCTAAACCAATCATGACTGCTGCAAATTATCACCCCAAAACTCTATAGCAAGCAAAGATGCTATTATCTTCTATGCCTTCTGCTACCTGGGAATTTGGGGAAGGTTTGGCTGGGCAGTTGTGGTTCAGGAGCTCCCAGGTGGTCGCTGTCCACTGGTGGCAGAACTGGAAAGCGTGAACTTTTTAGGGGCTAGGTGGGTGGCCATTTCCTTTCATGTAACGTCAGAGCTGTCCATGCAGCTTCTCTGTGTGGACTCTGAGGGCAATTGGATAGCTGCAAGATCAAGTCTTCCAGCAAGGAAAACACATCGCCTTTTATAGGATGGGGGGCAGCAGCACCTCCACATTCTTCTGGCTATAAGCAAGTCTCCAGCCAACAGTACTCTTGACAAGGAGTGGCAGTCCCTCTCTAGAAGAGGACGTGAAATGGGACATACTGCTAAGACATCATTGGATAATCTGCCAAATTTGTTAAAATGGTCATTGTTAATTTGATATAGTTTAACCTAAAACAGACATAATACAAATGTGTGAAGAAATCTGGATTCCATTTTATCCAGAACATTTTTATCTATTAGACTGATCTACAATTACTCTTTTTTTCTACTGTTTCTAACCAGATTTGGTGTGAAGGTTATACTAGGGTTGTAAAATGAGTTTGGGAGCAATCTAGCCTTGTAAAATTTTCTAATATTGTTTGTGTAACAATGATCAAGTCCTTAATGTTGGTAAATATTACTGTTTAATAATCTAGGTCTGCTACATTTTATTGAGGAAAATCTCTGATTACAGTTCATTTTGTTACTGATTTATTCACTCTTGCTTTTTGTGCTTGGTCTATTTTGGTAGCATACTTTCAAGACAATTGAATGCTTTTTCTAAACTTTCATATTTAGTGATACATGGTTATCCTTAATATTCTCCTATAATTAAAAAAATAATGTTTATTATAGTTCATAGTTTCATAATTGTGCATTGACTATCTGTGATAGTTTATTAATTTCCTTGTACATTTTTATAAGATTTGTCTTAATTGAAATTTTTATTGAAATAATTGCAAACTCACTTGCAGCACAAGAAATAATACAGAGATCTCATACACTTTGCCAGGTTTACCCCAATGTTACATTTTGAAAAACTATAATATCACAGCCAGAATATTGACACTGATGGTCCACAATACTTGAAACTTCTGGTTATACTTACACTCATTTGGGTGTGTGTGTGTGTGTGTGTGTGTGTGTGTTTTAAGTTCTATTGAATTTTATCACCTGTGTAGGTTCATGTATCAACCATAGCCAAGATACTGCACAGTTCCAATGCAAGATTTTTTTATACTTTGTATTTTGATATTTCTGAAAATGGAATCACTTTATTAAATCCCATTTTATAGTTTTTCTGGTATGTAGAAATAGGATTGATTTGGATATATTGACCTGATACAACATGACCTAATTTTTTTAAACTATTTTACTTAGAAATGATATCATACTATTTTAGAAATTATTTAATTTAGAAAAGTTGAGTACAGAACCACAGAATTTGCAGAATAGTAAAGAATTCCTAAATGCCTTTTACCTGTGTTCCCCAAATGTTAACAATTCACCATGTCTTTCTCTATAAAAGAACTTGTTTTTCCACAAGAACAGAACCATAGACCAATGGAACAGACTAGAGAGTCCAGATATTAAACCCAAGTACATATGGTCAATTAATATATGATAAAGGAGCCATGGACATACAATGGGGAAATGATAGCTTCTTCAACAACTGATATTGGCAAAACTGGACAGCTACATGCAACAGAATGAAACTGGATTATTGTCTATGCCCATACACAAAAGTAAACTTGAAATGGATCAAAGACCTGAACGTAAGTCATGAAACCATAAAACTCTTAGAAGATAACATAGACAAAAATCTCCTGAATATAAACATGAGCAACTTTTTTCTGAATGCATTTTCTTGAGCAAGGGAAACAAAAGCAAAAATGAACACATGGGACTACATCAAACTTAAAAGCTTCTGTACAGCAAAGGACACCATCAACAGAACAAAAAGGCATCCTACAGTATGGGAGAATATATTTGTAAAATGACATATCTGACAAGGAGTTAACATCCAAAATACATAAAGAACTCACACGCCTCAACACCCAAAAAGCAAATAACCCTATTAAAAAATGGGCAGAGGATATGAACAGACACTTCTCCAAAGAAGAAATTCAGATGACCAACAGGCACATGATGAGATGCTCCACATTGCTAATTATCAGGGAAATGCAAATTAAAACCACAATGAGATATCACTTCACTTCAGTTAGGATGGCCAACATAGAAAAGACTAGGAACAACAAATGCTGGCGAGGATGCGGAGAAAGGGGAACCCTCCTACACTGCTGGTGGGAGTGTAAGCTAGTTCAACCATTGTGGAAAGCAATATGGAGGTTCCTCAAAAAACTAAAAATAGAAATACCATTTGACTCAGGAATTCCACTCCTAGGAATTTGCCCAAAGAATATAATTTCTCAGATTCAAAAAGACATATGCACCTCTATGTTTATTGCAGCACTATTTACAATAGCTAAGATGTGGAAGCAACCTAAGTGTCCATCAGTGGATGAATGGATAAAGTTGAAGTGGTACATATACACAATGAAATACTACTGAGCCATAAGAAAGAAATTCTACAATTTGCAACATGGATGGAGCTGGAGGATATTATGCTCAGTGAAATAAGCCAGGTGGAGAAAGACAGGTACCAAATGATTTACCTGATTCGTGGTGTATAACAACGAAGCAAAACTGAAGGAACAAAACAGCATCAGATTCACCGACTCCAAGAAGGAACTAGCAGTTACCAAAGGGGAAGGGTGGGGAGTGAGAGAGAAGGGGATTCAGGGGTATTATGATTGGCACACATGATGGGGGGGGATCAGGGGGAAGACAGTGTATCACAGAGAAGGCAAATAGTGACTCCTTAGCATCTTACTACGCTGATGGGCAGTGACTGCAATGGAGTATGGGGGTGACACGATAACAGGGGTGAATGGAGTAACCACATTGTTTTTTCATATGAAACCTTCATAAGAGCATACATCAATAATACCTTAATAAAATAAATGTTAAAAAGAAAACTTATTTTTCTTAAAAGAAAGAAGCATGAGTTGCAGACTTAAGTCCTGTAAACTAAACTCCTAAACATTTCAGTGAGTATCTTCAACATCGTTTTATCTAACCACAGTGAAATTATCAAATTGAGGAAACTAACATAAATGCAATACTATTATCAAATACACAGATCTTATTCAAATTATACCAATTGTCCTGATAATGTCCAAAACAAAATTTGGGTTCAGGAGCCAATGTCATAAATATCTTCAGTTACCTTTAAACTGAGCAGTCTTTCTTTCATGACCTCAACATTTTTTTAAAGTGCATGCTATTTTCTTGCCGAATGGCCGTCAACTTGTGCTTGTTAACGTTTACTGATTAGAGAAGGGTTGAAACAAAGGAATGTAGTTGACTCCTGGAATTCCACATTCAGGAAACAGGCAGTTAGAGCTATCTAACCCTGATCATGTGTTATTGTAAAGAAGAGGGAAGGATGACCCTAAGGACAGGACCACCTCTGTGATTCGAGGGTGAAGTGACCTTTTTAATTCTGGAGGACTGGTCCATCATCCAGGAATGAGGGGGCAGGGCCACCACCCAGTGGGCTCAGAGGACAGAGCATTCAGCCAGAATTTAGAGTTACTCTCAAATCTTAAAATCTAGCAGAATTTTCCCTGGTAGGTTTTGGACTTGCGACTCTTAACACCTTTTCTAATTTCTTCCTTTTGGAATGGGAATATACTGTGGTTGTCTGATCACTGTATTTGGGAAGCAGATAACTTGTCTGGTTTCACAGGTTCACAAAATGGAAAGGAATACTGCCCCAGGATGAATCATCCCCCATCTCTGTCCCATACCTGATTAAGATGATATTTACATGAGATTTTGTGCTTAGAGTTGATGCTGGAACAGATTTAAGCCTTCCAGGGATGTCAGGCTGGGGTGAACATATTTTGCACGTGAAAGGGACATGACTTTGGTGGGTGGGGGAAAGAGGGCAAACTTATGGGTTGGATTGTGTCCTGTCAAAAAAGGTATATTGGACTCCTAACTCCCAGTACCTCAGGATGTGAATTTAAAGACAGTGTCTTTACAGAGACAACCAATCTTAAACTAAATTAGGGTGAGACTTAAGCCACTATGACTGGGTCCTTATAAAAAGAGGAAAGTTGGACATAGAGCTGGTAACAATGAAGCATGGGGTGTTGGCAGAATATGCTTCCTCCTGCAAAGTACAGTCCCCTTTCTAGGGAAGGGAAAAGCTCTACATCAGTTGGCAAGTTTTGTGGGCAGTAGCATCTGTACAACTACTCAACTCTTCCGCTGTAGTGCAAAAGCACCAGACAAAACATACATAATTACGTCTGGCTGTGTTCTGATAAAACTTAATTTATGAGTATTAAATTTTAAGTAATTTTCTTATTTCATTCAATAAATTTTCTTTTTACATCCATTTGAAAAGGTATAAGCTTCTTAGCTTGCCATCTATACAAATATAGGCATCAAGCTGTATTTGACTTGTAGGCTGTACGTAGTTTGTCAACATCTAGCTTCCATCTCTGAGTGAAGAACATACAGTGCAAAGTACAGGAGTTTGTTGCTAGGCTGAGTTGTCAGATTCCTCTCAGCTATCTACTCGAATTATCAAGAGACTTTTCCTAGACCAATCTTAATTTACATAAGGCATTAGTGAGCATCTGGGGTAGATGACTTTTTAATTCACTAAGCCAAACATACTTGATTTTCACCATCTCAACCCTATAGCTATGAGTAAGCAATGATTTCAGCAATGTCAGAGTTCCCTCAGTGTGAGATTTCAGGGCTTTGAAGTCTGTAGTTTTTAAGAGCTGAAATTATTAGAAATAGCCATTCCATCTCCTGTCCCAGATTTCCTTATTAATTTTAAACTCTTCTATGGCACTATTTCCTCAGCGTTCACAGAATTATTGGGGGCCACAAGGTTCTTGGTGTATACAAACAATAGCACTGTCCCATGCTATGGGCTGAAAATTTTCCATTTTGGACAAAAATCTGATTTTCTTGTCTCATGAAAAAGCTAAACCAATGCCCTACTTTTTCTGTTTCCTACATACTACTCCAGAGCAATTTAATAACTCAAAGCCCTTCTGTCATAGGAAACAGCAATTCATTCTTAACTTTAGCAGAAAAAAAACATTATTGAAAAGACAGAGGCACAGAGAAGGCAAGAAAACCAGGTTCAAAAAAGGACAGTATCCAAAGTTATTCTGGGAAATCAATGTAGCAGGAACTAACTGATGGTCTCTGTAGAATTCTGGGACATGAGTTAAGTGAGTTCCCACATTTCCTTTCTGGTTCATGTGAGAGTAAATTAAGAGGCTAAAAATCCTTGACAAGAGGTTACTATTACCAACAATAGGAATAATGCTCACCTGTGCTGGTGGAAAGATCACACCAGAAGACATTACTCCAAGGAAGCACACAGCAGAGGAGAGGTGTTCTCCAGAGAAAACGGGTGCTCTTACCTATCAGTGGAGAATAGACACTGAACTGCTAAAACATAACGTTCATTACAATGACTTTTCTTAAGCAGCAGCCCTGTAATATCTGCCAGATTCATTTACACAGACTGCTGAAGAAGTAAATCATGAAAACCACATTGATTAAAAGCCACATTTTAATTACATTGCTAAGAAATAGACAATACTGTTATCATTTAATGTGGAGAATACTGGGGATGTTATTCCACAGACTATCAAATATATGTATAGCAAGTTCTATTAAAAAATAAAATACCAAAAATTTACAAAATGCTATTCAGGTACTGCTAGTGTTACTCAAGAAAGTCCCACTAAATATCCCTTAACTTTCAGCATATGTCCCTTACTGTTTTCTCGCTCACTGCTTTATTTACATATTTAAAAAATTTATACTCCACCATAAAAAAGTGTTTACAACTGAGATTTTCTTCACTCTAAAATAAATAATAGCTTCAAATCTAGACTTCCCATGTAACACATTTTCTCTGGGAAAATGCTTTCTGAATTTATTAAATTCATGAGGTGTTTTTAGTGTGAATTCTCTAAATTAAGTCTTCATAATAATGCCACTACACTTGACAGTGCTCTTCATTCCTTCAATTCTCTTCTCTATAAAGATTTGGCTCATTTCTGGAAGCATATACAGATTCATTCCAACTATGATTCATCCCCTTCCTATATTCTATATTTGATCTGAGTGTATTTTTAGGACTTCCTGCTTATATATCCCCTCTATATTATCATCTGAAGTCTCCTGAGTCAGCTTTTGTGAAAGTGTCTCTAACATTGACTTCATTCTAATTTATTTGTGAGTTTTCCGATGTATACGAAGCCCTGAGTTCCAACAGAAGGATTTCCCACATTCAGAGCATTTCCATGGTTTCTCTCCTGTATGAACTCTCTGATGTTCACTGAGAGATGACTTCTGAGTGAAGGCTTTCCCACACTCTCCGCATTTGAAAGGTTTCTCTCCTGAGTGAGTTTTCTGATGTATCTGAAGTGATGCCTTCCTAGGATAGGCTTTCTCACATTCGTTGCACTCATACGGCTTCTCTGTCGAGTGAGTTCTCTGATGTATAATCAGCTGTGATTTCCCACAAAAGGCTCTCTCACAGAAACTACATTCATAGGGTCTCTCTCCTGTGTGTGTTCTCCTGTGTATAACAAGGTATGACTTGCTACTGAAAGCCTTTCCACATTCACTGCATCCATAAGGTTTCTCTCCTGCATGAGCTCTCATATGTGCAGTAAGCTGTTCCTTCCTACCAAAGGCCTTTCCACATTCACTGCATTGGTAAGGATTATTTCCTGTGTGAATTCCCTGATGCACAACAAGTTGTGTCTTCATATTGAAGGCTTTCCCACAATCGCTGCACTGATAGGGTTTCTCTCCTGTGTGCATTCTGATGTGAACGAGGAGGTAGGACTTGCTCCTAAAGGCTTTCCCACATACACTGCATTTATGGGGTTTCACTCCTGTATGAGTCCTCTGGTGTACAACAAATGGTGATTTCAAACTAAAGGCTTTCCCACACTCGCTGCATTCATAGGGTTTCACTCCTGTATGACTTCTCTGGTGTAAAATAAGCTGTGATTTCCAGCTGTAGGCTTTCCCACATTCACTGCAACCATAAGGTTTCCCTCCTGTGTGGATTTCCTGGTGAACAATGAGCTGTGACCTGAAAGAGAAGACTTTCCCACATTCACTGCATGAGTAGGGTTTTTCTCCTGTATGAACTCTCTGATGAGCATTCAGGTTTGACTTGGCACTGAAGGCTCTCTCACATTTAGTGCATTCATAAGGTCTCTCTCCTGTATGAATTCTGAGATGTACAATGAGCTGTGATTTGCAACGAAAAGCTTTCCCACATTCGCTACACACACAGTTTTTTTCTATATTGTGAGTTCTTTGATGCTTAAGAAAATATGACTCTTTATATCCATGAAACTTACCAGAACTCTTTCTTAGATAGCTTCTTGTTGAACCTGAGTTTTCTGTTGAACTTTTTCCATGTGTGTTACATTTATGGAATCTTTGTCTTGAAGAAACATGGGTTTTGCAGGGATGAAATTTCCCAAATGCATTATAAGTATAGCCTCTCTCAACACTTTTGAGCTCATCTTGATTTTTCAGGGACCATTCTTTCCAACCTTCTGGGGGAAAAAATACCACATTTTAAAAATCATAACATGAACTTGATATGGAATTAAAGAGCTTCACAACTACCATGTAATGAATCTTTTTCTTTTTGATAACAGGCCTCTGACACTGGTTGGAAAGAAATATCAGCCATGTGCACAAGTGCCATATACCTAAGCATGGGGTTAGGAGAACCTAATCAAATCAAAGCAAACCAAATTCCATTATGGGAAACAGGTAGCGGAAACATGTAGCGAAATAGCAGTGATCAAAAATAGTTTTTAAAATAGAGGTTTATAAAATTTAGCCTGCACAGGGTAAATGCCAATTATTTTATATCTGAATTTAACTGTTGTGGGAGTTTACTGAAAAAGTGAATTCACAGGGTACAGAAAAACTAAGGTATAACATTTAGGTAGGTATGATGACACATTAAAAATAAGACTGAGTGAGCCATAATAAAATTAAGGGCAGGAACACTACAAAAAGAAAGAGCACATACAAAGCTATTACTGATTAGACATAAAAAGGCCAGGATAGTTAATGCCCACTGTGAACAAAGTGCAGGCAAGTACCAAATCTGACAAGGCCACAGCAAAGTTTTCATCTAACTGAAGGGATTTCTATTTAATCGAGGATATCTCAATTAGATCAGTTTGGCTGTTTTATAAAAAATGAATAGGAAGAGGGTGTAGAGACAAATTCGTGCAGGATGATGGGGTACTGGCTTGGACAACATTTCTGGAGCTCAGCAAACATAGAACATGCCTGGAGAGAGAACTGAGAAAATACTAAGGAGTTGAGAGGAGGATAAATAGGTCTTGTATTTTAGACTTGAGAAACAGGTCGTACTGTTCTTTGAGATAGAAAACATTGGAAAAGAAATATGTTTGGAGGAAAAATGAAGGACTTTGTTTTGGATATTATATTTAATATCTCAAATATACAAAGGGATAAAGCAAGCAGGCAGACAGACCTAACTTCACTGCTCAGTAAAAAGTACATTCACCAGCGATGTAACAGGTATCACATGGGTGAATGATAAGAGCTTCTAGAGAACATGTGCAAATAAAGAGACGGCAAAACAGCTGCAGACATTTAAAGTTGGACAGCAGATACAGAGAGAATATGAATGTCCATCTATGAGGCCAATCAGTAACATGAGGATGAGAGAGACAGATAGGACAGGACAGCAGCAGGTCTGGGTCTGGACAGCACCTGCCAGGCACACAGCCTTAATCAGCTCATCACAAGGAGATTGTGCTGGGATCGTCAGCAGCCTCCCACTTCCTTGGGAATTCTTCCTGACAGTGGTTGAATGATTCAGGTTATGGTTTGTGCCTCAGAGAGGGCCACTAAACTCAAGGATGAGGGGTGAGACCCACAGCTACAAGAGAGGAATCCTCAAGCTTAAAGACTATGCCTTGACAACATCTGTTTCTTGTTAATGGTGTAACATCGGAAGAAAGAAAGTTGACTGGGAGTCCATTAAGTTTTGAAGGGAACCTCAAGCCCGGTATGATAGATAAGAGCCTGTGATTCTT